ACATGTTCCAGTTGTTTCAGGATGAACTTTACTCTGTGGAACTTTGGAACGATTCAGTCTCTTTAATTCATTTTTCACGTATTTTTCAATAGAACAACTTTGCACTCTGACTATATTTGCTAATTTGGGGGAAAACATAAACTTCGAGTATTAATTGCAGGAGAAAGAAAATAGTTTCACTCGCCACTTGACTTCCTGCACAAATGTGATGAGAGGGATGCAGAGCGAGTCTACCTGCGTTTTCACTATAGTGACAAATTGCTTAATAACAGCAATAGCACCTTAATTATTTTAATGGACAATAAAGTTTTATATTTTACAGTTTACAAGACATTTATAGGGCTATAAAAGTCACACACACTTACTTAGGCCGCATTCTCTCTCTAACACACACACACACACACACACACACACACACACACACACACACACACCTATGTAATGCCACTTCTCAGGCGCTATAATAAACATTTGGTACCCTGTCCTGTATCGGTCTTTACCCGGGTTAAGCTGCTGCTGGGTCTTCCTCTCCTCCTCCTCCTTCTTGGGCTCGGCTTTCCTCCCCAGCTCCTCCACGGTGCCGAGCCGCTCCAGCACCACCTCGGCCGTGCTGGCAAAGCTGGAGTCCCCTGGGCTGTCGTGCGTCGGCGGTGGCGGCGGAGGAGGCGAGTTCTCGGGTTTGACCGCCTCGTACCTGGAGCTCGGGGTGGACAGGTCACCCTGGCCGGGCAGGCACCCGGGGAAAGCGGCCGGAGACTGTGACAGCGCCGCGTCCGAGCTGCTAGGAGTCGCACCCTCCCAGCAGCGCACGAACCTGCTCTCCGACGCCGCCGAGGACGCGAGCTGCTCGGCGTGGCTCTGCGTCTGCGGGCCGTAGTACGCGTGGTGGTGGCTCAGGAGGTGATGCGGGTGGAACAGACCCGGGATGGAGGCGCCGGGCGCGGACTGCAGCTGCGGCGAAGGGGACGAGGAGGACGTGGAGGTGTTCGTCCAGGGGGAGAAGCCATTTAAACTCGTTGGTTTGTTGGAAAAATGGGAAAAATCCGGAATGTGTGAGCCGGGGGTCCCCTCCTCCTCCTCGGCTCCCCGGGCTGACTTGGCGCAGCCGGCCGTCGAACCCTGCAAGCTCCCCGGGATGAAATGTGCACCGTACGGCTCCTCGCTCTGGAGCCCCATCATGGAATAATAATTCGTTAGCGACATGTTTATTTTATTATTTCAATAAAAAGACACTTAAGTGCGACTGTAAAACGTTAGATGGGCTGGTATAGTGGCTTACATCCTCCCCTAAAATGGTAGTAATTTTTTTTCTGCCCTTACCTTCTCCTCGGCTGCTCATTGGTTACACTGCGCACCACATGGTTAGACTGTATTTACCCGGTATGGGAAATAAATCAAATCATTCTTTTGTCTCCAGAAATGTGATAGTAAGGCCCATAGACTGCTGCCAGATGGATGTACCATATATATATTTATTTATTATATACGCATGTTTTTAAAAGTGTGTTCTTGATGCACCGTTTTACAAGCGGAATAAAAAGTAGCAGGGATCCTTTTACGCACGGGCTGGGAGGAGAGTGGAGAATCTTTGCTTGAGCCAAACCACTTTCTGAGCAGGCCTGTTAAATGAATAGCTCATATTGTGTTTGTCTTTAGTGACACACACACACACACACACACACACACACACACACACACACACCCACACACCCCTACACTTCTGTCTGGCATCTCACAATCACAATATTGTGTAGCTGCAAAGGAAAACCTGTTTGTGCCCCAAATCTCAGTGTCTGGCGCCAGTTTTATTTCTGTAGGTGGACCGGTTCAGGTTTTTCTTCGGTTAAACTGCCATGATATGTATTTATTGTGTCTGTTAGTTGATTTATCGTGTGTTTAGAAAACTAGATCAAATCCCTCTTGGCTGCTTGTGCAGGTAAAATTGATTTTAGGCCTCATAGTGTTTTTGTCTTGTGATGGGTTTTGTTGTTGAGACCATCGCTGTGAAAGTCGATATTTATCTATATCATATTTATCTATATCATATTTATCTATAGGTACAATTTCCCCATGTTATTTGAAAGTGAACTCTTTCTGTCTGAACCTTCTAACATAGACCTTGATCTCTGTCTCTTGTGCACTCGTAGCGCCATCTGCTGGCTGCGTGAGTAAACTTGGAGATCATATATTTCCAGTTTCAAACTGAAATACTTCTTTTACTTGAATATTTCCATTTCATACTTTTATTCAACCACATCTCTAAGGCAGCTATTTTCACTCCATTACTTTGCACTTGAAGAATTTTCGCATTAAATCCTCATTCAGTCCCTTAAACTGTATTTTCTTCTATATTTATATTTCCTGATATTTATTTTACATGTTGACTTATTTCTATCCTGATGACTGTTCTCTCTGCTGCTGCAACACAGCAAATGTCCATGTTGTGCGACATGTATACATGTAATCCATAGCTCAGCCTATTCTCCTTCTCGTCGAGTAATTTGAATCAGTATTTGAATCCTTAAAGCTTAATTTACTTTAGTAAAAGAAAAACGATTTTCAATGTAGTCTCAAGTATCCTCACAAAGCATTGTATTCAGTGCTGCTCTGACTTACTGGGAAAATGTGCATTGCTTTGTAAATTTGCACAGACTGGAAAACTCCACCCACTCTTCAGATCACTATTATTTATACTGTACATGTCGCCATTAAACTGCATGGCTGCTTTCCCCATTCAACATATTCCAGCCACCTTTTCTCTGCATAAGAATCTCACATACACATCCATCCTGTGTACACACATATATTACTTACCCAATAAGATGTCGCACAATTTTTTCAATATCTTGCTTTTAAATATCTTTTCGTGTCTGTGTGTGTTTTAATTGTGGCCTACGAGGGGCCTGTGGGGACCAACTGCATCCAACAGCAACATTCATGTTCGATGCTGTACACTGTCCCCATAATAAATACAATCATATAAAATGACGTCTCCTGCACGGCCACGTTTCAGCAGAACTTGAATGTCTGGTCTGTCGGCCCAGAGGAGCACTGGTTTGTTTCAGCCTGTATTCAAGACACTGTGATGCCTTTTTATTTAGCACATTATCAAGTTAGTAAAACTCCTGGCAACTGGTTTTAGTGACACAGTGAATAAACACATGAATCAGCGCCTATGATTTAATCTAACTGGACCTTTAGAGATTCAGGGCCAGCAGAGACTCACGAGTCAGTGAGTGAGTGAGTGAGTGAAGTCTGCTGCCTGTAGGTGGCGCTGTCACCATGGCTGCTCTGGCACTGGAGGAGTTATAAGAATCCTGTGTGCTGTGTGAAAGTCATGCAGGCTGCTGCCATATAAATTTATATGACAGACTAAAAGAAGTAATGGAAGGATGCTGGCAGCGGCTGCTGTGGTGCACCCCCGAGCTGATGCCAACTCGTTTTACAGATGAACATTCACAAAAGCAATTGGTGGAGTGTCACTGTTACTTTCTGTATGAATACATATATTCTTTATATTAATACTACGGTTACTGCCACTACCTGTACTAATACACACACACAAATATATATATATATTACTGTTCCTATGAATACTTGCACTACTGTTACTGCCATTACCTTTACGATGACTTTACTATAAAGGTCTGCTACTGTTCTTTATGAAAACATGTACACTTTATGGTGATACTACTATTCCTGCCATTACTTTTACTATGACATTACTATATATTACTGATACTGATTGCTGATGCTACTTACCTTTGATTAATTATTGTATGATTATTTATATTTATTCATATTTCTTTTTTTTCTCCTTTTTTTTTTGCTCTTCTCTATTTTGGACTATATGAAGTATCTTAATTAGTGTCTATATAAATCAATTTATTAATTATTATTATTTACAGTATTTGTCCACAATTACTGCTACTGTTAATACCACAATTAATACTACATTATACTTCCTGTACTGCCACTGTCTCCCCTCGTGCCTCTGCTGGTGAGGATATTACACAGTTACACCTAAAAATCGCTTTAATGCATTAACTACGTAAATACCATGGCAACTTCTCCAACACCTGCAGTACTTTCTGTTAGTCGACAATATGCATTTCTTTGAGACAGTAAAAATGTAAAAGTCCATTTAAAACAACACAACATGAGACGACATGCTCAAGGCCCGAACAGGCTTGTACTCAGGTTTATTGGGGGCCATTAGGTTGAATGCCTTTAGTTCCAACCAGACACACAATCTCTCCTTTCATGTCCCTGTCTTTCTTTTTATGTCACACACACACACACACACACACACACACACACACACACACACACACACACACACACTCACTCACACACTCTCTAAGTGAATGTGTGAGACAAAGAAAGAAGGAGAGAGAGAGGGACAGCAGACTGTCTGTATTGCCCCAATAAAAGTCTTTGAGGAAATGGTGGTTGTGCCGGTGTGTGTGTGTGTCTGTGTGTGTGTTTGTGTGTGTATGTGTGTGTGTGTGAGTGTGTGTTGTGCTTGGTTTGCGGTTCAAGGTTCACCAGCAGCCTTGGACTCGCTGTGTTTCTGCTGTCTGGGCCCATGTTGTTCAAAGTCTGGGTCGAGATCCCAGCGACCACAAGACTGAAAAAAAACGCCTTCTCCTGCTTTTTACTTCTTCTTCTACACTTTGACGCTCCGACTCTTTACTGCTGTGATGTTACATTTTATAGTGTTGTAACCTGAGGGCACAATAACCTGCTCTTTACTTTGTGTGGCTGTGTTTATGATTCAGGCATCATCCACGTAAAATGCGAGCCTATTTAAATGTGCTTCTGGGAATAGTGTTTTATTTGATTTTTTTGGGGTTGCAGAAGTGATCACACATGACTTGAATTTTCATTTTATTACTTTATAAAACAATAGGACAACACCCTGTGAATGGCTTCAGATGGCACTGTCACACATTTTAAATTAGGATAAACAATAGCGATGAAGTTTGTTCAAATATTTTCTCATTCTCACACATTTGAAAAGTGTCTAAACTGATTTGCTAAATTTCATGACTTGATTTATTTAATTTCAATGTTTTTACACCAAATTCAGGTCTTACCAGGTTGTCAAATATCTGAATAAGTACATTGTCTTCATCTTTTAAGTGTGCATATATTTATATAGATAGATAGATAGATAGATAGATAGATAGATAAGCAGTGCAAATCAACATAAAAGAAACAACCAAAAGTCCCAATACATGAGGCTCCATGGACATGAATATAAGGAGCCGCTGTACATCTGTAGTTAATGTTTCCCTATTCAGTTTCTCAAAGAATGTACAGTATGTGGTCATTTCCTGGTATTTACAGAACATAAAGGCCTAAGACAGAAAGAGCGTTAATTCCTTCACAGTGAGCCACATGACTTCAGAGGGCAGATGGGTTCAAATAAGGCGAGCGGAGCATTTTCAATGCTTTCTTGATGGAAGATCAAGAGCGAGACACATTCTTTAAAAGAGAAGTTTCTACAGTGGGCCTAAACCTGAGCCTTGGAGTTCTCCTTCTGAAGGAGCAGGGGTGTTTGTTCCTTATCTTTATTCACGTCTTGACCTGCCTACGTGACCGGAATGGAAATGCGCTGCGGTGACAGTGTTTGCAGGGTTGTCACACACGCACAGTTTTTTTTTGGAATGACATTAAAAAAAGAAGGAGCATCTTTTAGTTCCATCCCCCTCGTCCATGCGTCAGAACAGGTGGTACTGTGTGTAGTACTGTAGTCTCTCTCTTTTCAGTTTCTTCTCTTTCATTCTTCTGTTCTGGAACCAGATTTTCACCTGTCTTAAAAGCATAGCACAAAAGAAAGAAAATCTTTTTTTCAAAGGTTGATTTAAAAAAAAACACGAGCATGCAGGGACACAAAATAATCTGCAGTACAAAACAATATGAAATCAGCAGAACACCATAAATATAACGCTGCTGTTTTTCTTTCTATTATCACATAATCTACTTGTTTTTGATTGGTTGTGTGTATAATATATTAAAGTGACAGATATGCTGAGATGTTTAAAAGCAAAAAATATACAAAACAACATAAGCTACCTGAAAATACCAAGTTTACATAATATATAGTTTATAATGGGAATACAGTGAATCTGTAAATCCCCATCTTTACCTCTCACTGTACTGTATGAACTATATCTCCTCACTACATCATTTATTAATCTACCAATCATTTTCCTGATTAATTTGTCAGATTCCAGCAGCTCTAATGTTCCCATTGAGTAGATGAATTGATCCAAACATTGTTTTTTTCTCCTTGCAGGTTAAAAAAGACCACGTTCATCCTTTTGTTTCCACATGGAGCCAAACACCAGCATGTCCGCAGTCTTTTGCAGCACTGCAGCGGATGAGGATTTAATGAGAGTATAGCTTCACTGCAGCTTCACTAGGACCTCAGGGCCATGAGAAGCACCTGGTGAGTGGAGTAACAAGTACCCTAACACAGGCCCTAACAATATTACAACATGCACGCACCGATCTGTCAGGAACAGAAGGCGGGACAGCTGCATGCGTCTGTCCTTGTTGATGTAAATGTTGAAGAGAAACTCTCTCTCCAGCTCCCTGATCTGCTGCTTGGAGTAAGGGCAGCGCTTCTTCCTCTTCACAGAGGACTCTGCTGGAGAAAAGGTGAAAAAGATGAAACATGCATTAGGAAGAAAACAGATAGTGGATGCAGAAGAGAAATATTGGTCCATGAATTGATAGAAAAAAACATTAAATATGTCCAGAAAGCCAAAATCTCGTCATCAGGGGAAAAGGGGACAAGGCCCATCTCCTCCAAACATCCAACAAGAGATGAGCAACAACTTTAAAACTGACCTACAAGAATAAACTCACTGATTTGAATTAAATTAAATTAATTTAAACATTTGATTTGAGGTGAATGTCAAGGTCTGAGTCAAAACGATAAGTCCAGGAAACATGACCTTCATGTTGTGCAACTGTGAAGCTAGAGGTCATCGTATCGTCTTCATATTTTCATGCATTTGTAGATGTTCAGCTCATAAGTTATGGAGGAGAAACACATGCATCCGTGCAAAACAAAATTAAAACCGGCAGAAAAGTGGCAGACTGGGTGATTTAATCGTAGAAATCGATTCGACGAGATTAGCAGCAGCTGATTACCAATGCTAGCTTTTGCATGACTCCATTAGTTTGAGACACATCTGAAAACAATATTAATAACAAAGATGTTTTTAAAAACTTCTAATCATAAGAGATTGGGCGTGTAGACGTTTTACATACACACTCATGTATTTTTATTTAATACACCTAAATGAGGTTTCAGGGCCTTTAAACTTTTTTTAAAATATAATTAATGCTTTTTGGTGTAATAAAAAATTGGCTTTATTTTAAAAACATGAACTTGATATAGGCTGATAAATTATATTTGACTAAACAAACACATGGATGCGAGCTATAGAATAAAAAATGATAATTTAAATACTATTTTCTATTTTGTGGGCTAGAATAATGATCTCTAGACTTCATTTACATTTTCACTATTAAAATAAACCTGCAACCTGCAATTTAGGCCTATTTAGGAAAATATACTATATGGATAATACACACATGATGTTTCAGTTTAAATATACAGGATGTCCATCACTCGTTGCATTACAGGAGCCTGCATTTGACTTTATTCTGTGCTAAAGACCAGCCTATAAAACTATATGACTTCCACTTACTCCGGTCATGGCTGCAGTCTCCTCCAGCGCCGCTGGATGACGGCGCGTCCTCCTCGTCCTCCTTCCCCGTCAGCGGCGACTCTGACACCGGCCTCACCTCGCCGCTCTCCCCGCTGGGACAGCTCGTCCATCCGGTCCGACTCGTCTCCTTCTCTCGATCCGCGGTCCCTGTCCTCGGACTCTCCGCCTCCTCCGCGATGAACTGGTCGAACACCGGCAGCAGGATTCCGTTCCGCGCCGCCGGGAACAGGAGCTGCGAGTCCGGGTGGTACGTCGTGTATCTCCCGGGGAAACTCCGCGGGTCTCCGGCGAACGCGTGCGCGTGAAGACGCGGGTCCGACGCGCCGTAAACCGTCCCCCCGCTCAGGAAGCACTCCTTACCGCCTTTGAATATCGTCTCCGGCGGGGACGGAAGCCCCTGATGGTAAGCAGCCTCCCCGGGTAGGTTGAAGCAGGATGGCGGTGGAGAGGTGATGGGCCGGCTGGACTGGTACAGGGTCCACTTGCCCGGAGGAGGATACTGCTGCAGGGGCTCGTGGTAGCAGCAGCCCCGGTACCGCGCCGATGCGCCGCTGTGCTCCAGCAGAGCGGCGCCACTCTCCGTTAGAAACGGTGCCGGGACGGAGCCAAAGTCGGACTTTGACGGGTAAGTGCAGCTCGGTAAATACATGGATGATTAAAAACACTTTAAATAACGCAACAAGGTGAGATTTGGTCGGTGTCCAAACGACGTCTAACCCCTCATCTATGTCCACATGAGGGGCAGCAAATCAGAGTTTACCCCCATGTGACAGTAAACTTTAAACTCAGCTCTGCATCATGACATGCAGCCCTGGAAGTTAAAGCAAGAGATGCAAACAGGATATAAATAAGAAGCCAATCTACCACCATTCCTTAATTACCCCCAAGACCTGAATGAAAGCTCCTCTCAGTGTCCTCTGGAAAGTGGGTAAAACATTGTCTTTGACCTTGTGCAGCTCAAACTGGGTCCACAGAGGACAATTAACCAAACCTAAAGGCTGTGCTGCATGTTTTTGTAGTCAGGCCATGTCAAATCCAAGCAGTGCCAGCCCCAGATTCACACACACACACTGACTCACACACACTGACACACACACACACACACACACATGCAGCAGGCAACAAAATAACCCACATGAAAGTACTGCAGTTAAGCCTTTATGGCATGCTGTATACAATATAAATAAATTGCCCTGGAGATGAAATTGAAATCTAAAGCTTACAGAGAAAATAAGAATTAGACGTCTTCAGAGGTCTGCGTTCACCGGAGAGCCTGTAATAAAAGAAACTCAGTTTTTCTTTGTAAAGCACGGAGGGAAACATGTAGATTGATTCTCTACAGGTGTGTGCATGTCAGGAGATTGAAGTAGGTCTCCTAATGGAAAAGGGGAAAAGCACCAACCAAGTCCTGCTCTACAAAGAACATTTGGGCATTAATGAGGGAGTTGGGCTGAATGGACTCGGTTAAAAACCCAGAATGAGCCTCTGTGAAGGTGCATTGTTCCTGTAGGACTGAGTCCAATCAAAGGAAAACATCCCTGAGCTGAAAATAGAGAAATAAAAGCAGCTCAGTCACAGTTTCGCTTTTTCTCTTTTTTAAAAAAATCATGCAGCTCATGACTGAACCATCATTTTGTGCAGCAGCGAAACCCCAACTTCATTTACAGTCAGAGACAATTTAGGTACATCACTGTGCCTGGTGTTAAATCTATCTTTGGAGGGAAATTAATAATTAGCCCAACTCATATGATTGATTCCAACATTTTGCAGAAAACGTTTCATTTAGTCGTTGTTTATGAAGTTGTGTAAAAGTGGCTGCCAGTATGGATCTAATTACTCGCTCAGTGTTTTGGTTTTTAACCCTGAAATGAATGTTTTGTTTCTGAAATACTTTGTTGGTGTTTTCTTGAATTAAAGCTGAAACTTAACTATCCCATTAAAAAATAGGATACACATTTTATCCTTTAAAAGCAAACAGGATGTATTCATGATATTTACCCATATTCTATTATCTCTTAATACAAGTTATATATTATATATGTAATGTCTGAGGCTGGTAGTTTCAGAATAAAACGGTGTATTCAGGTATGGAGGACTAAAACTGCCATGATTAAATACAAATAAAAACATAAATAACACAATAGATTCATTAATTAATATTGAAAATAATTGTAGGTATTAATAAATGTACAGTAGATCTACCTGGATCTTACCCTAATTATTTACTTTCCCAGTTGATTCCTATTCCTCAATCATTCTCCTCAGAGAAAGACAAGTAAGCGATGGTAGCACAAACAATGCTGGTGACAAACAAGTGGATGAGCAGCAGTAATAGTATAACAGCGTTAGTCGAGCAGTCCTCAGATTACATCTCATTTCCTTATGAGGCCCGTTATTTAAGAGCCGCATAAAAGGGAAATCTTGTGCTGTAAGGGGACTTTCCCATTTATTGTGCCTCATGAATATATGTGTGAAATCAAAAGACGCTTCCCACATCATTCATTCACCCATCATCAGGACGTTTTCTCAGAAACACGTGTGCTGTCCTGACGGAAGGGTCACACTGTTTTTAATGCACTTGATGTATAACGAGCACACAACCGTACAGTGCTGCCGGTTGCACGCAGCCGCATCTGAACCGAGACGACCGCAGTGATGATTTAATAATTTATTTCATAGACTTTTTGTCCCCATAAGGAAAACAAGTTCCCACAACATGAGTAATACAAGGACACCCCCCCCACATACACACACACACTTTTAGATATTTAAACCAAAGATGAAAACAGATAAAACACCTTCTTCATCACAGAAAATATCCCAAACATCATCAACTACCAGCCGAAGCTGATTATTCACGTCAGAGGAAATTATTTCCGCAACTGCACAACCGGGTTTCTAAAAAAAGATTTTAATTGCCTTTTTTAATGAACTGCAGGAATGCAGCAGAAAACATCAATCTCCTGCTCGGAGAAAAACACTGTAGCCGGATCTGAAGTCTCCACACCTGGCTGCGGTCGCTGGCCCAGTGCATAATTGCATATTTATGAATCATATCTCTTTTGGAGCGTCCCCCTCCTCCGATGGTTCAGGTTGATCGATACCCACCAATACCACAACTGCCTCATCTCCAGCTGAGTGTGAACCGTTCCTTTCCTTCTTTATTAAGAAGATAAATAACATACAGTGCAGCTCCTGCAACATCTCTGGACATCCCCCGCCCTCACTTGGAATCACTGAGTTGTTGTTTCTCCACAGAAACAACTATAAACAGTTTTTTTTTTCCTGACGTGTGCCTGACCTCTTTCAGATGGTACACACATTCTTCTGGAGGGGCCCTCGCTGGATCCAGCTGACTGTTTGTTGAAATGTTCTATTTCCGAGTTGACATTTCTTTCATAAAGAGGGTTGTTTTGACGCAAATTCTAGAGATGCCAAGGAACAATTATAGCTTAGAAAAGATCCAGAGGGTTGTTTTTCCTGATATAGTGACACAGTATAGACGCATCTTCTCCCTCATGTGACACATGAATTATCACTGCCTGCCGACGCTGGACACTGCTCGGTCTGATACTGTTACACAGAGGATTCTCATTGAGAGACGGAGGAATCACCAGAGCTGCAGCGATTCTCCTCCTTCACCATGTGGGATTTACTCTGTGATGGTTTTACACTCATACATGCAACACAACATGTGTGGTGCACAATTCTACCGCTGTGCATAACAGCTAATATACAATCAAGAGAAGAGGTTCGTATCCAGGAGTGTTTCGGGTCCCCATGCAGGCCAAAGGGATCTGAGGGGCCCAATATTGAACCAAACCTTTTTTTTTTTTTTTTTTGCAGTAAGCTATCCGCAGGGGGTCTCTGACCCTGGTGTTTTTGCAGTCTCATGTACATAGCGGATCATAGGATTTAAAGGGTTTTCACAAAATTGTTGTTGCTGCAGACTAATTTATCATCAATTCTCAGGGGCCTCATGTCAGCTTGGGGCCCCAGGTAATCGCCTGCGTTGCCTGTTTTTATGTTTGGTCCAGAGAAACTGCAGATGCAGGTCTCCTGTACCAACGTTAGGGCCTTTTCATGGCAAATAACCTTAGTGAAGCGTTTGATTTGAAGCACTTATCTAAGCCTCTTATCTCCCTGGGAATATGGAAAATCTCACAATGTTAAAGAGAATTAGGTCAATGATCTGGATCCACACCATTTTTTAAAGGCTTCTTCCCTAAAGCATAGAGCATCGTCCCACCGAGTTTCATGGAAATCGATTCAGTAGTTTTTGCTTAATCCTTGTTACCAACAAACAAACCAGAGGTGAAAACATAACCACCCTGGCGGAGGAAAATCTTGTTTTTAATTCTGAGATGCTCATTTTATACAACACAAGAACTGACATCTTTATATCATCACACCTTCACTATAACTTTCTATTTACAGCCTCAGACTCAGTCTCACAATTGCAGTTCATCCAGAACTCAGGAGGGAGATCGTTGGCTAAATCCAGGAGGTCGTGTCCTATCACCTCAGTCTTAGCCTCACTGCTCCGGCTGCCCATTAAGTTTAGAATACATTTTAAAGTTTTATTAATTACCTCCACCAGGCCGTGCACAGCCTGGCCCCCGAGAATAAGGAGCTTTTAACCCCTCGCGGCCGGCGGCTCCTCTGAGATGAGCTGATCAAACACTCTGAGCTGTCCCTGCCACCAAACTGCAAACCTACGCTGACCAGTGCGTTTCCACTTAAAGCCCCTCATATAACGGAACAGCCCTGCTCTCAGTGTGACATCGGCAGACTCCACTTCTGCTTTTAAGTGCCTCCTTAAAATTAAAAGTCACCTTTACAAGATGCCCCACACTTAACTGTGTTTTCATTATCGCCGCACTTCAGTATTTTCACTGGGTTTTATTGAACTTATAATATATCAAGACGAAACAAAACGGTGCTCGTGTTTGTTTGAATTTCTCTATTTTCATATTCACTATTATAAATGTTGCATTTTTATCTGTTGTAAATTCGAGTCAATTATTTTACCAGCATAAATTCACTTTATATAAGTAATAAAATATTATATACTCGCAGCTTGTTTCTTACAGGTGATTGACACTGGTTCTTATTTACATTGTTTAATCCTATTTTATTTTATGTGAATTTCTAACCAGATTTAACTTATTTCTCTCTGCTCATGTTTTATTGTTTTATTCTCGTTTTTCTCCGTCTGATGTTTCATTCATGTAAAGCACAACATTGTTCATAAGTGTCACATAAATAAAGCTAATAATATTATTATTTATCTATGTATGTGGTTATTTAACCTGCTTCATATCAAAGTCTAGTGGCCAAACTTCTTATTCCCTTGTCTTATATTATTTAATCTACTTATATTTGTAATACACTCGATAGTCGGTTTTTTATTTCTATATATTATTTGACTTGGAGGCATTTTTATTTAAGCTCTACAGTAAATTCTTTGAGATTATTTTAAGAGAAAGAGAGGAAAGGACCAACCGACGAGCTGATCTTACTCTTGTGCTACAAAAACCTTAAACGCAAGTTGTCCTAAAACAAAACCAGACATGAAATACACAAAATACATGAATTAATACACAACAGAAATGTTTTTTCCATCTGTTACACCCTGTATCATCTGTCAACAGATTTAATAAAGACAGTAGATATTCTAAAGATGCCCGAAGTGGCTTTTTGATGCTGTTTTATAAGACTAAACATTATAATCTGTCATATATGACAACTGTGTTAGTGTTCGTGTGTGTTAGTCTAAGTTGTAAATGGGACCAATGCACCCGCCAACTAACAGGAGACATTTTGTGACAGTGGTATAAAGCACAGATGTCAATAATAAAACTATGGCTGAATTCCATTGTGCTGCCTTGGTTTCATTGTCCTGCTGTTGTTCATGTGTCCTCAGTGTCAGGGACATTGTCACAGTTTACTGGGACACATGAGCAGAGCCATTGCCAAGTCTAAACAGTGTGTTGACTAGTGTGTGTGTGTGTGTGTGTGTTTGTAGATGTTTGCGTGTCATCTCATTGTAATGATATAAAACCTCACCGAGTCTCAGCTGCTGTTACACATCACACCACTGATCCACAAGTGGCCCTGCAGCTGATGAAGCCTTTTTTTAAAAAAATAAATAAATAAATAAAATGGTCTCCACTGCTTAGGGAGAGGACGTGATTGGACGGTGTCCCTCACCGCACACATGTACACTGAAGCCTGTCATCATGGCGGAAATGTGTAATTGATAAAATTACAAATGGCTGCACTCTGGAGTGGTTTGGTATCTGGTTACGTCTCGTAAATTCTGCTGATATGACAGTAAACTCAACGCAGGGCTGTTGAACATTTCTGTGCAACATTTAAGACGTGTTTGCACTGAACCGCAGTCGATGAACAAACCAGATGTGGGCCTACTATGTGCATTTCATCTTTATTTATACATAAGCTATTATAGATGGACTGAAAATCTTTGGATATGCAACAGCGGAGAGTCGATAGGAGAAATGAGTGCAGGCCTCCGGCAGCAGGAATACCACAGTTGGATTTGAGTATTTTACTATTTAATAAATTGTAAATAATAATCTCCACTGTCCAATTAACAGCAGGGAGATGAATGATGCAGCGTCCTGATGGAAAGGTCATCCACCTCAACTGGTTTTCATCTGATGATATTCTGAACAGGTCTCTGCTGCAGCTCCTCACTGTTTCCTCTCTTACATCCCACAGCAACAGCACACGTGACGGCCTCCACTGAGTGTAGGCCTCCTCTTCCTCCTCATCCTCCTCTTCCTCAGCGCGTCAGCTCACACAGCAGCTAAGTTTTTTTTTTATCAGGTTATGCACATTTTAATA